ATACAAAAAAAATTTTGGCTTCCATTTTACAAGTCAATTTGACAGAAAGTTTCTACTGTGAGAGAGTGCTGCCACTGTTTTTGTTCGCTAAGCTAGACAGAAAGTGCTTCTGCTGTAGCTGGTTTTTGACCGTCGTATCCTGGGAGACAGACGTCGGGATTCCTCAAGCACTCGACCCGGGAGGCGGCGAAATCTGTTTTAAGGAAACTGCTACTGTGAAGGTTTCGGTTTGGTTTCTTTACCATTTTATTATTTTGTGTATTTCTGTTGAAATTTAGTTGTAATTATCAGCATATGTTCTTGATATATAATTTTGATTTCTTCATAAATTTATTTATTTAATTTCACAATTTAAACAACAATTTCAACACCTTTAACTACGATCTTTTATTTATTGTTTATTTTGAATTTAATAAAAAATAAATAAGTATTAGTTGTATCAAACAAAAGAAAAGAAACATAAAACTGGAATAAACTTTCCATTCTTACCTATTCTAGCATATCAAACTCAGCATACCAAACACCACATAAGAAATTTAACATGGCTAACCCAATTTTTTATTTTTATTTTTGAATTTCAACAAAAAGGACTGTTGGAGAAGTAGGACTGAAATTTTGGTATTACGCAAAGGAATTGGGATTCTTTAATTATTGGGATAAATAATTTAAATGAGTCAAAGTTGTTAGGTCAACTACCTTTTAATTAGTTTCTTGAGTCTAAAAAACTCTTTCATAAGTATTGGAATTGTTGGATGAACCTTTCTTGGAGGCTTCATTCAACACTATTATTATGTACATTGTACCGTTGCACCTCAACACCGTGTGAGAACCGTTTTATAAAAACGACTTTTTTTTATTTTATTATTATTATTATTATTATTATTATTATTATTATTATTACATCAACGGATTAAATTAAAATAAATTAAACTAGCCATCATCTCATAATCTCTCTCTTCCCTATGAACATTAAAAACAAAATAATAATAATAATAATAATAATAATAATAATAATAAAAACCTAGATATTTTTTTAAGCACAAGAATCACTTGGTTTAGATACGATTATGAAAAGAAACACCTTTCTTAATCCAAATGGAACTATATAATATAAGACAAAGTATTGGCCATAATTGAAATCTTGTTTCTTGTATAAATTATTATTAACCCCAAACGTGCTCTTATTAAATATTATCATCCATTTCATCACTTAGGAGAGAGATTAGGATGGAAAAAAACTTGGAAAAGAATTCATGTATTTTACTTTATTCTTTTACTTATTTCTCATTGCATATATACAAGCAAGTAAATTAAATAAAGAAAATATTATTCCTATATAATTTTATACATAATTTTTCATCAGAATTATGTAATGGTAGTATTTTCAGTGTCATTTTAATAGATAACATGTTTGTTATCTACAATAATATCATTTTGTATATAAATTTTATATATTTTCTATTTGTATATCACTACTTATTAAATAATAAGATTCATGCAAACAAAAAATAAAATAACATAACACCGAATAATATGACAAATGTTAGTTTTATAAATTTAAAGCAAATGAATCATTAAAATGAATTGTGTTTTGAAAATATTATTTTTATATTATTTTGATCATAAATTTAAAATAAAATTTATATATATATATATATAATTTTTTTTTAAAATATTAAAAGTGTGGTGCCGGGTCGTGAAGGGACAAAACGTCCCAATTGAAAAAAGTCCACTTGCAAAGATCCCAAAAGACAAATCAGCATCATTAAATGTTGCTTTCATGTGCTATCCCATCCCACTATGGTACCACCACCACCCCCATCATTTACTAATCTATCTGTCATACAAACCTATTACTATTATTTATTATTTATTATTCTCTTTTTATCTCCAACTTGGATCCTTTGGTTGTGGCACCTTCTTGGACCTTGACAGAAAACCAACAAAGAGGATGCTGCCATTTTCATACAATACAATAATAATAATAATAATAATAATAATAATACATGGCTCCTCTTAAGCACAAGAATCACTTGGTTTAGATACGATTATGAAAAGAAACACCTTTCTTAATCCAAATGGAACTATATAATATAAGACAAAGTATTGGCCATATATGTGTTCGTCACATTTATTATATTATTATATTATATAGTAAACACTTTTAGGGTTGTTACAAAAATAAAATTGTGTAATGTCAAATTTTATTTCAATTAATTAGACTAATTCAATTGGTCACCCTTATATAATGTCAACTAAAAGGTTATGAAGTCAAACTCTTATTTAAATTTTTTCCTAAGTTGTTTATTTCTTTCAAATTATAGAATTTCTTATTATTAATTTTGTGGTTGTTGAAGTTTGATATTGGCAAAAAAAGAAATATTAATTTTTATTCCAAAATTTTAATTGTTTAAATTATTCCCATAACTTTTTGAACAAAAATGTAAGAAAATTATATTTCAAAATAATTAAAATTTTCAATTGCTAAATCACAGATTCCATTACTTTATTCTATACACGCATTGTGCATACAGAGTCACTCTAATATTAAAATAAAGTGTGAATGACTTCAACTTACAAATGTCATTAAATGGGAAATTGATGCACTGGGACAAGTTGATGTGCCAGGGGGAGCCATATAATATAGAATATATATATATATATATATGATTTTAATAGTTGGTGATTAATATGACTCTACCTTTGTGATGAAGGCATTGCAATTTTTGAGGCTTGTGGGTGGGGAATGGTAAGTGGACACCCATCTTTATGCAGAGTGGTTGTCTTTAATGTGCAAATATTATTATCACAAATTAAAATGAATTCAAATAATAATGCACTCTTCAGTTGGGTCCCTTTATAAATTATTATACTTCTAAGACAAGTATTTTTTTTATTTTTATTTTTCAAAAAAAAGAAGATAAAAGATAAAAAGAAAGATTGTTGGTATCTTCAAACAAGACCATATCCAAATTAATGATTGTTTAATTGAAAGGCAGAGAAGAATGAAAGAAAAATGAAAAATGAACCAGACAAGAGGATTCATGTAGGATGGCTCTAGTGGTAACCAATCTTGTCATTGCAACCCCTAAAGCCATAAGTTGAGACACATGATGAAAAGGTCATGTGAAAAAGAGAAATTAGTGATTGTTTAATAGACAAAGTTAGAAAATTGAAAAGAGAATTAAAAAATTGAGAGGGTACTTGGAAGAGGTTTTTCTATTTTGATTGTCATATCATGCCAAGTCACCTGGCCAACCATAATTGAAAACACCACAATATGAGAGAGAGAGAGAGAGAGAGAGAGAAGGGAAATGTATAAGTGCACATTTTCTGCCATTTTTGTCTTTTGGTACCTATATCATGGCTCATTTTGGAAGACAAAAAAAATATGAAAAAATTATAAATTAGTGGAAAGAAACATAGAAGTACTAATAAAAATATAAGTAAAAATTCTGTTCTTATTTGGGCTACAAGCACAAACTCCACTCTCACTTTCTTACTTTTACAACTACTTTCAGTTTTTCTTCCCTAATTGTAATTTTTCCAAGTAACAACTCTAGTTAAACCACTTCCATTGCAGCTCCTTAGTTCAATTCTAAGTTTTTAAAGGGTAAGGAATGCGTAAATAGCTTAAAAAGTCACATGTAATTATTTAATAGATTTGGAGTATGGAATTCGTAAATAGCTTAGAGGGTAAGGAATTCGTAAATAGCTTAAAAATTGAGTGAAATAAACATGTTAAATCAAAATTACAAAAATTTTAAGGCTAAGTTTGACATCTTAAAAAAAAGTCAAAAAGTTACTATCTTATTTAAGTCACATCACCTCTCTACTACATCACTTCAAACTCAACTCATATTTTATAAAAGGTCAAAAAGTGTACTTATTTAGAATATTCCAAACAACCTCTAAAAATGAGATATTCTATGTAATTGAGAGACAAATGATAATTCAATTAGTATATTATAATTTTTATTAATGAGAATATTATATCATATATTACAAAGAAAATATTGAAAGAAATTTCAAAAGTGACATAGGATCTTGATTTTAAAAATAAAAATACAAAAATTGGAAGGGTGGTTACATCACTCATAAATAGATGCCGGAAGAGTTGGGGTTGGTTTGCTTGGCCGCCTCTTTGGGCTTGGCTTGGTCTTGATTGCCAAAAACTATCCAATTTCAAGCAAACTTGACATCTCAACCAACCGTGATATATGTATCCAATGTGATGTGAATGATACCCAATTGACAATTACAATAAAGGAGGACCCATGCCCCAATAAAAGAATTTTGTTTTATTTTTTGAAATACATTTTGTTTTTGTTTTGTCTTGATTTAGTTTTTGTTTTAGTTGTCCATGCAAGTCTTTTCACCTTAAAGTTATTGCAAGCACCACAACTTATTACAGAAGTGTTTTTTTTTTCCCCTTCTTTTTTGTTTCTTTTTTTCAAAGCAATTTCCCATTCCCTAATTTATGGATGGAGTATTTCAACATTTTAACCTTGTGGAGGTTAGCTTAGTGATTGCAACAATTTTTTGAGTGAATGAGATGTTTGAATTTGATTCTTATCCTGAAGTAATTTTTTTTTTTTTTAGATTTGTTTTAAAAGAAAAATACAGTAGACCCCACAAATCTGAGAGCAAAATCAACTCAAAAGACCTTGTGAAAGCAATGAATGCACAAAGGGCCTAATGCATCTACTGCGTTCATTAGGACCACCAAAGGTGCATATGAGTCCAAAAAAGATTTGAAAAGTAGGATTCTCTCCCTGAGAAAAGAAAAGGTTTGGCCATGAATGAGCCCCCCCTTGGACTCTTTTTAACTTTCAATGCTATGAGAGAGGGAGAGAGAGAGAGAATTGCACAAAAGCTAAAGCAAACTTGATGGTTCATCCTTCAAGAATTTGGAGCAATTTCTTTAAACATAAACCAAACTGTACACTATGCTCTCTTTTCAAAAAGACAAATCAAAATGCTAACTCTACAAAAAAATAAAAAATAAATAAATAAATAAACAATCCATTGACTAAAAATTAAAAGAATTTACACTAACCAGCATGTTTCTATTTCAAGATGTTTACATCAATTTTTTTGCCCCCTCTTCTATGTTTTTCTCAAGACAAATTAACATTGACACTAGCATTCATGTAAGAGTTACATACAGGGCATGTGTGGTGGTACTTGGACCCACAAGGAGTGCATAAGCACAGATGCCTACATGGCAACACCAACACACAAGATTCTCTCTCCCCACACTTTTTGCACAACCGCTTTCCACCACCACAGCTACTGCTGCCGCCCACCGCCACCTTGTCTCCTCCCTCGACTGCTAACATGCGCCTCCCCACCACCTCCACTTCCTCCCCATCTCTTCCATAATCATTGCTGCCACAGCACGACTCCGCATCCTCCTCTGCCGCCGCTCCTCCTCCACAACCAACGATGGAAGGGCGGTCGTCGCTAACGTGCGCCAGGACTTGCTCTAAATGGGAACGCAAAGAGTTGGCGGCGGCCTCGTTTGTCTGAGCCAAGTCTCTCCATAATTGGTTCTCAACGTACAGACTTTTCACTCTTTCTTGAAGAACCCAATTCAGTTTTCCCATTCTCTGAATCTGCTCGTCCTTTTCCTTCATCTTCTTCATTACTCCGTCTCCAATTGCCGACACCAACAATCTTGCATGCTGCTTTTGCTTCTCTTCCAATTCCACTATTATTTTATTTGTCTGTCAATCACAAGCAAAAAAATATTAAAAACCAATTCCAAAAAAATAATAATTTTTTTGTTTGCTTTGATCAACGTAACTCTAATTGCATCGATTTTACTCTTTTAAAATTTTCATGTTAAATCAAAACAATACGTAAAAGAAAGCCGCAAAATTGAAGCAATTTAAATTACGAACACCAAATTAGCACGGGACAAATGACAAGAATCAAGTGTTATTATCTGCTTCTTTTTTTTTCCTCGAAAAGAGAGATGTGAAAAAAAAAAAATTATAGAAATAACCAACTTTTCATAATTGTTTCACATCTACTGATTGGAAAAATGTGAAGAGTAAGTGATTTTGGTGATCAAAATTTTCGATCATGGTAACAAGTTTTTTTGTTTTTGTTTGTTATTTGAATAGAATAGATAGAGGGGGAGAAATGAGACTTACATGTTCTGCGACTATATGGTCAATCTCCAATTGCTGTTGATGGATCTGTAACGGAATGTCTCGGCCTAGTAAAGAAGACAACTCATACAAGTTGTTGTTGTTGTTGTTGTTTTCTTGAGGGACTGTAAAATTGCTAATCTGATTGAATGAATCCCTAGAACGCTTTCTGGGGGCAACAGGGACATTGTAGGTGACCCCACTTTCAGCCTTCACTGAAGTTTTCACCGGAACAGAGTCGCAAACCAGAGACTGAGGGAACGGTAACAGAGACTCGTGCAATGTTCCTGTGAATGGCATCCCAAAACCCATCTGGGTATTGTACGTGCCGGCGTTTCCAGCGTTGCTGTTCAGAAGATTTCTGCAAAAAATTCAGACCCATATCAGATGAACAAATCTACACAAAGAAAAGATGAGAAATTTAATTCCCACCAACCAAACAAATAAGAAAGACTTGGAAATTCATGATACCTATTTGTGATCAGTTGTGGAGGGAAGAGGTTGAGATGCCCTGCTTCAACGGCCATGGAGGGCTCTATTCTTTGTGGCTTGTTTTTGGTCCAAGAGAGATGTATATGTGTATAGAGAGAAGAGAGAGAGAGCCGAGCATGCAATGGCTTTAGATAGTGTGAAGAGAGAGAGACAAAGAAACGGACGCAGAGGTTGCTTTAGAGATAGAGAGAGAGAGAGAGAGAGAGAATGGAGAGAAGTCTGCAAATTCTAGAGTGAGAATAGGGGTATATATATACACACAGTTTCTGCGCCTTAAAATTAGTAAAACAGAGTGGCTGATTTGTTCTGATTTGAATGGTATAGAAAAAGTTGTGTGTACGGATTTGCTTTTATAATTTTGTACTCCACTATCCAAACCAGACTAGTAAACGGATCAATTAATTAATACTTCCACATTATTATGAACTATTACTTACCAAAATTGCTGAAAAGTCCAACTTATTAGAGGTTACAGGGTAATAAATTAAGCCACTTCTCAAGTTATAATTTATTTTATTTTTTTATAAAAAATTAATTATAATTAATTTTTAATCAATTTTTAATCAAAAAGTTAATTATAACTATCTTTTCAAAATAATCCTAAATTGATATTTTTTATTAGTAAAATATAGGATATGCTTGGTTTGATTTTGAGAGAGTGGTTTTCAAATATTATTTTTTTGGAGAGAATTTAGAATTTTTTTTAGTTTGTTTGGTTGTGTATTTTGAAAGTAGTTTTAGAGTTTAGGAATTTGGAATGATTTGATATTTTGTTATAATTGAATAGATATGTGTGAGAGAAAAAGTGATTGAGAAGGAGAGAAGAGAGAGAAAAAGTAATTGATTGATGTGTAGGAGAGAGAAAGTGATTTTGAAAATTATTTTGAAAAAATTATAAACCAAACAAGCTTTTTAGATTTTTTTTCCAAAATCACTCTACAAAACCAAACCAAACATACCCATAATAGTTTCGTGATAACTTTTTTTATTTTTTTTGAAAGATATTTTATTTTTAATTTTATTCTTTAATTTATCTGTTCACTTTTTTTTATTTGTTAATTTTTTTGACTATCTGTTTAAATTTATATCTATCTGTTCATATTATTTTCTATCTATTTAAATTTATATCTATCTGTTTAATTTTTTGACTTATTTGCTCAAATATCTGTCCAAGTTTTATTATCTGTTTAATTTTTTATTTTTATTTTTTTATATGTTGAAATATCAATCCAAACCAAATACTATCCGTTGAAATATAGAGCTAAAAAATAAGGGGGTTATGTTTTCACCCAAAATATGATTGTGTGGCTTAGGTTGATATTTCTCTATAAAATTTTAGTAAATAATTTGGGAATGTAGTATTTGTTAGATATACTTTCTTAGTGGAGTATGATACCCAATTGGTTTATTAAAATATTTAATTTGATTTGGTGTTAGTTATAATATATATATTATATTATATTATATCTAACTTTTTTAGGCCCAATTGGTATTTAATAATCTGTTTGGCGGAAGTTAAGGTTTTTATAAAAAACCAAAGAATCAACAATATATTTATATATATTGTTTTTGTTCTTCCGAATATACGGCGGCTGCTACACTATTTTTTGATGAAAAATTCGGTAGCTTGGTTAAAGTAGTGGCTGTGTGAATTTGCTTTGGGGACTTCAATTTTCTGTTTCTTCTGCACAGATTTGAAGCACTGTTTTGGGTTCTTTTTGTTGACAATTTCGACTTAGAAGGTGTTGGTGTTGGTTTTGGTTCATTATTTTAAGTCTTCTTCAACTCTATTTTGAAGACTTTTGTTTATCTATTTGGTGATATCTTTCCTCTTGTTTATTTGTGATTATTTGGAATTCACCTAAGGATGGTTTATGAGACTATTTATGTCTCGTTTGTAATTGTTTGGAAACTCTTGATTGATAGTGGAATCTGATTTCGGTCCCGTGGACGCACTTCATATTGAAAGAACCACGTAAAAATTCTTGTGTCGTTGATTTAATTTTTTCGCATCAGTTTTTATTTCTATCGATTAATTTACTTATGAAAAACCATCTATTTTCCCTAACAACTAGTATCAGAGCTTACGGTTTATTTGAATTTATTTATTTGTGTAAATCAATGGAGAGGAATATGGATCGTATATCTAGCTTCAACAAAAGCAATTGGGTAACTTGAAAAACTAAAATGGATGACCAATTATTTTGTAAAGATTTGTATGGGCCTATTGAGGGTGATAGTGGCAAACTCGATGGTATGAAAGATGATGAATGGAAGAGGCTTAATCAAAAAGCTATTGGTGTTATCCGCCAATAGATTAATGGCAGTGTGCTTCATCACGTCATCATGCTACTACTGAAATTTCGGTACATGATTTATGAAAAAAATTAGGTCTTTATGATAGAAAATCAGTCACAAATAAAGTCTTTCTGTTTCGAAAGTTGGTTAATTTAAAATATAAAGATGACAGCTCTATTCCGGAACATTTGAATAAAATAAAGAGTATTGTTAACCAACTTGCTTATATGAAAATTGTTTTTGATGATTGGTTATGACGATTAGTAATTCGGTGCTCGATAGAGTTGTCACAATGAACCAAGTCACTAATAGCTTGTTGAATGAAGGAACTAGAAGAAAATCAACAACTTCTTCTCATTCGGAGGCATTTGTTGTGAGGCCGAAGCAAAATAAAGGAGATGAGTAAGACTCATTATGGTTGTAATCAAAGTCATGAAAAATCAAAAGATGGTTCTTTTTCAAAGAAAGACGTTGAGTGCCATTGTTGCTATAAGAAATTATGAAGTAAGAATGCCGAAAGCTCAAGAACAAAAAGAAAATGTGTGACAAAAGTGTGGACAAAAAGTAAGAAGACATAACGGCAGCTACTACCGATTGCGATCTCATAGTCACTTGTGAAAATGATTGTGTCAATTTTATGAACCAAGAGAGCAATTGGGTGATTGATTCTGATGCTTATTTTCATGTGACTTCTCGAGTTGATTTATTTACTATTTACACCAAAGGAGATTATGGGTGTATTTGAATGGGTAATGAAGGTTTGTCCAAGATTGTTGGTATAGGTGATGTTTGCTTGGAAACAAATTTAGATTGCAAGTTGTTACTTAAAGATGTGAGGCATGTTCCAGACATTTGACTCAATTTGATTTCTACCGGGAAGTTAGATGATGAAGGTTATAATAACAAATTTGGTGATGAAAAATGGAAGCTCACAAAAGGTTCTTTGGTGGTGGCTAAGTGTAAGAAGACTCACACACTTTATTCAATGCAAGAAAAAAATTATAAAGGTGTTATCAATGCACTTGAAGATGATACTTCTACCGAATTGTGGCATAAGCGGCCTGGGCACATGAATGAAAAGGGGCTGCAAGTTTTGTTCAAGAAAGAGCTTTTACCTGGTTTAAAAGGTACATATCTTAAAACTTGTGTTTATTGCTTGGTGGACAAGTAACATAGAGTTTCTTTTTATAAAAATGTTGCTTCTAGAAAAGAAAATGTTTTGGAGTTAATTCATTCAGATGTTTTTGGTCTTTTAAAAGTTAGAACACATAATGGTGCACTTTATTTTGTTACTTTCATTTATGATTATTCAAGAAAAATTTGGACTTTTGCACTAAAAACTAAAGATCAAGTTCTAAATATGTTTAAGCATTTTCAGGTCGTGGTTGAAAGGGAAACAAAATAGAAATTGAAGTGCATTCGAACAGACAATGGTGGTGAATACATTGGGCCATTTGATGAGTATTATCGCAGCCAAGGTATTCGATACCAAAAGACGGTTAAGATGACTCTTCAACAAAATGGTGTTGCTAAGAGGATAAACGGCACCATTATGGAAATAACAAAGTGTCTACTTTCACATGCTAAATTGCCAAGATCCTTTTGGGGTGAGGCAATTAGGACCGCGGTTAATGTGATCAATTTGTCTCATTCTTATCCTTTGAATGGCGATGTTCCCAAAAAAGTTTGGACCGGCAAATATGTGTCTTATGAATACTTGAGAGTGTTTGGTTCCCGAGCCTTTGTTCATATTCCAAAGAATGAAAGGTCTAAGCTTGATAGCAAGTCCAGACAATGCATTTTTCTTGGCTATAGGCGTGATGAATTTGGTTATAGATTGTGGGATCCGATTGACAAGAAAGTTATTCGAAGCCGTGATGTTGTGTTTCTTGAAGACCAAACAATTGAAGACTTTGACAAAGGTAATCAACCGGAGCCAAAAACTAGTAATCTTATTGACATGGATCTATCTCCTTCATCTTTGGTAGATAATGAAAATGAGAGAGATATGCAGCCACCTATTAAAGATGTGGAAGGTGACACTAATCCTAATGAAGTTGATCTAGAAATTGAGAAAGAGTATCTAATTCAAAAACCGCCACCATAACTTGAGTTAAGGAAATCTGCAAGGGACCAGCAACCTTCGAAAAAGTATTTTCCCAATGAATTTATGTTATTATCAGATCAAGGAGAGCCCGAGAGCTACCAAGAAGTAATTGAGCATGCAAAGAAAGGTGATTAGAAAAAGGCCATGGAAGAGGAAATCAATTCCTTACTTGAAAATCATACTTTTGATTTGATGAAGTTGCCTAAAGAGAGGAAAATTCCAAAAAATAAGTGGCTCTTCAAATTGAAGAATGATGGCAAGAATCTACGGTACAAGGCACGTCTTGTTGTGAAAGGCTTTGGGCAAAAGAAATATGTTGACTTTGATGAAAAAATTTCGTCAATTGTGAAGATGTATTCTATTCAAATTGTACTTTGCATGACTACAAGTATGAATCTTGGAGTTGAACAACTTGATGAGAAGACTGCATTTCTTCATGATGACCTTAAAGAAGAAATTTACATGGAGCAACCGGAGGATTTTGTAAAGAAAGTGAAAGAGAAATTTGTTTACAAAATAAAGAAAAATTTGTATGGCCTCAAGCAAGCGTCACGGCAATAGTACAAAAAATTTGACTCTTTCATGATGAATAATGATTTTTTCTAAAACCACTTCGGACCATTGTGTGTTTGTGAAAAATATTTCAGATGACAACTGTATTATTCTTTTACTTTATGTTGATAAGATGTTAATTTTAAGTCAAGATACTACCATGATTAATAAGTTGAAGTTAAAGCAAGTCTTTTGCTATAAACTATTTGGGACCAACAAAGCAAATATTTGGTATGAAATTATTCGTGATTGCAAAAAGGGATTGATTTGGTTGTCTCA